CTGCATTGCATTTCATGAATTACTGCAAACCACCTTGAGAGTTTCAGAAACCAGGTGGTAATAGAAATAAAATAAGCACAAAGGTGCAAAAGCAGAGGAATGTTTGTGGCCTGCTTCACAACCGCAGTCAAGCACATGGCAGGCCAAAGGGTGAGATGTGAATTCACGAGCTAAAGTGACCCTGTCGGACCAGCTCATCCATCCCTGACCTCCTCCGCTGCAGCGCCCGCCCTTAGCCGGACGAGACCGAGTGCTGGAGCAGGAGCAGGAGGCATCGGCTGCTTTCCCCCATTTGTGGTCTGGAGAGCACAGTAACAAAAGTGATGCATGGCATAGTGGTTAGAGCAGTTGGACTGGGACTCGACTTCCTGGTTTTAGTCCCCACTTGGCCATGGAACTTACCGGGTGACTTTGAGCCAGTCACTCACCCTCAGACTAACCTACCTCAAAGGGTTGTTGTGAGGATAAAATAGAATGGAGCAGGGTCATATGAGCTGTCTGGGTTCTTTGTAAGAGGAAAAAAGATGGGATAAAAATGCTATAATTTTTTTAAAAAAATCAGAAGTGCAAGGGGAAATGGACTTGAACACCATTCCTTCCCAGGCACACTGATTTGATTAACAAAAATATCAGAAGCTGCCAACCTGGCTTCTGGAGGCCACTTCATATCAGGGTCTGCACACAGAATCAGAAATACAAAACACCTGCCAGCATTCATTCAACCTTCAGCAGCCTCCGCACAGAAGCTCCTCTGGGACCTTTGCCGAATAGGACCGATTTTCCAATCAAAAACAGCAAGGTCTTCTCTACACGAGGCTTTTAACTCAGGCTTCTGCTTCTGAATTCGTTGTGGGGTTAAGGTGGGCAACCTGAAACATTTTCCACTTTCTCTGCCTTTCTGTGCATTCCCTATCACAAGGTGGTGCAGCACTTCAGTGGAATTGTGAAAACACTCCAGCTTTTCATTGCCACTCGTTCCACCATCTCCTGGTAACACTGAATTTCCTCATTCTGAACAAGGCCAGGCAAATGGTCTGGACTGGCCCTGGAGGAGTTCATGGAAGGCTCCCACAAGCTACTTCAGCAGCCTCCGCTCAGAAGCTTCTCTGGGACCTTTGCCGAATAGGACCGATTTTCCAATCAAAAACAGCAAGGTCTTCTCTACACGAGGCTTTTAACTCAGGCTTCTGCTTCTGAATTCGTTGTGGGGTTAAGGTGGGCAACCTGAAACATTTTCCACTTTCTCTGCCTTTCTGTGCATTCCCTATCACAAGGTGGTGCAGCACTTCAGTGGAATTGTGAAAACACTCCAGCTTTTCATTGCCACTCGTTCCACCATCTCCTGGTAACACTGAATTTCCTCATTCTGAACAAGGCCAGGCAAATGGTCTGGACTGGCCCTGGAGGAGTTCATGGAAGGCTCCCACAAGCTACTGTGAGCGAGCAATTTCCGATGCACGATGAACACCTCGAAGCAGGAAAGTCTGACCAGTCTTGTGGTGTTTTAAAGACTCACAAATGTAGTCTGCCAAAATGTTTGG